TCCTCCTCCTTCATCGTTGCCACTCGAATTTCCCTCATCGCCATCATGATGATCGTTTTCGTTTGTACTACTATCGAAATCCCAACCTATTGGCCGGGGTGGAAATTGATCCATGAGCAGTCCATGACGTTTAAAAACATCACGAGTTCGTACGGACAGGAAACGAGCCAGCTCGAAAGTAAATCGTCTCCGAATCCTATTCGTATGAAAAGCCTTCAGGCGAATCAAGGCTGTTTCGTCGGCGAAGTTCCCTTTGCAAAAGGCTTCGTATACCAAGTGGTTGGCGATAGCTACGATAAGTCGATTGGTGCCTTTGCCAAGACCACCATACGTCGAAAAAGCAGCAGTAAGGAGGGTAGATCTAGACGGGTTGAAAGTTCCCGCATAGTGTTTTGCCTTACTTGCAGCTCGATCTTCGAGGGCGGATCCTGGCGTTTGGAGTGACTTGTCGATACTTCGCTTACAACAGATGGATTGACGACTGTGACATCTTTAAGGATGGATTTGGTGCAGAGTTCCTCTTTATCTCCTGCGTGTAATCCTGGGGGGATCACTAAATCCATCTTGTAGAGCCCTCTTCCCCTACCAGTGCCTATAGTAAATGGGGAAGAGTCTTCAACAGCGATTGGCATGTGGCATTCGTGTAATGTCTTTAACAGCACGAGAACCATCCTATTGTGCAGGAAGGTTGAGGCGCCGGTCTTCGCGCAGACCAGGGAATGGGGTCGGCTCAACCGTTCCATACACGGTGACAATGCACCTGCGCTGCAAAGTCTGCCTGTATCGTAGTCAGTTCGGTCGTGACTCCCCAGTACACGACCGATCGATTCTCGATAAAGGTCAGGTAGCATCCGTTCATCCATCGAAAGCCCCTGCGTTGTCAGCCGTTATAGAACCCCCTTGTCTTTTGCTTCCTCCAAGCGAATCAAGGCTAACAACATATTCGCCTGATTGAGAGCGTAGCATCTGATTGAGAGCGAGATGTCAGTTCGGTCGTGACTCCCCAGTACACGACCGATCGATTCTCGATAAAGGTCAGGTAGCATCCGTTCATCCATCGAAAGCCCCTGCGTTGTCAGCCATGATAGAACCCCCTTGTCTTTTGCTTCCTCCAAGCGAATCAAGGCTCTCTTCTTTGAGGTTTCCTGGGATCCTGCTTTTTTCAAGCCTGTTACTACCATATGGCGGACTGCTGCATGAAGGGGCTTCGACAGGACGGCTTGAGCTCCGAAGACTTGATAGTACCGGCCAAATTCATTTCGCCCGCATGTCGACGGAGATGGTGGTTCCTCGTCAGGGTTGTCGTCTCCATTTTGTCTCTCGGCTACTACCTTCCCGGCCTCCATGAGATAAACCCCTCGAAGAGTGGGAGTTGAATCGTCAGATGTAACAAGTTTAGTCCATGACTGACCAACAACAGCTCTTTCGAGCTTGTTTTTGGTGATGATCGCTTTTAGTTTCTTGAGGGAGTCAATCAGAGCTAATCCTGTTGGTAGCTGTGCAAGTTGCGGTAGGCATTGCTCAATGGTGAGTCCTGTTGATGCCTGCACTGACCTGGAGAACACTAATGCTTGCCCCGCCACAAAAGCCGATTCTCGAATGAGAACAATGCTCGTAATTCCAAGCCCCCCTCACGTATGGGCAGGTGCACCTGTGCCCGAGCTGAATCTTTGAAGAAGTCGACCTCACTCTTCTCTGGGTTTGCGTGTGTGTGTGTGTGTTTTTATTATTAGCATCGACCGCGCTAACCGACTGACCAATGAAAAGACGTCAGTCTTACTGCGGTTGAAAACACAAAACACTTCTATCTACCATGAACTGGGACCCCGTGAGGGGGCAGCATGGGGGAGGATAGTTGTGTGTGTTTTTTTCCGGCACCATCTGCCGTCTTTCAACAATAATATTAAGTTGGACGGTATGCACGACGTGCCTGGGAATGCAGTGCAAGAAGAAACCGTTTCGAAATCGGCTCACATTTCAAGGACACATGCCCAAAACAGTAGATCGGGGGGAGTGGAAGAAAACAGCCAAAAAACAGCCCGACCGGGAAAACGCCACTTCAAGTTTTTTCGCGCTTCGCGCGAAAAATTATATAATACGTCCCCGCCTAGCCCTACCTATGGGCCCTGAGCCCATGATTGATCATCATCACCATCCATGTCATGCCGTACCGCATGCAGTCACTCTGCCATCATCACGTGCTAGCACGCGCCTCTGTGGAGCTGCCCATAGTGTGATGAATGGTGCGTAAGCGGATGTGAAGTGTTGTCACCAAGGCTGCAAATGTCAGCATCGCAATGTGCCAATGGGTTCAGTCTAGTCTACATGTCATGTACATCAGAGAACCTTGGTGTGTGCATGTATGTGAAGGATCTTCCTGGCGATTTTGCCTTTCACAGCCCACAAATCTGCTTATTACAATCCTGAAAGCCTCAACATCCTGACAGGGTTCCCGCCCGTGGACCTTGTGGGGACCAATTACCTTCCCAGGTTGTCAGTGTCCGTGCAGGGTCTATTCGCCCGCAAGGTCCACACAGGGGTTGCCGAATGGCTACAGGTGTGCTGTGTAACTTTTGCGTACAAAATCTACCCGGCATTTGATAGAATCACGAATATATGTGGCAAACAACAACGGGTTGACGGACCCGCTGTCTTCCGATCGATCTAGCGAGACATAGGGCTCGACCTCAGATATGCTACCGCTGTAGAGGGTATCATGGCACGCTCAGATCTATATGCAGCTACCAAGCTGGGGCCGTGATATCGCAGCCTGCCTATGCCGTTGGATCACCGCAACAGATCAGATTCTGTTTTTTTGTCTTCCTGTGTATGGCCGCAGCAACAGGCCGAAGATTCAAGAGCACAACTAGTCGTTCACAGGCACGAGGCATCACTCTGAGAATGACAGTGAGGGGTAGATAGCTGGCCTGACGGGTGGTCAAGCTGAGTGGTGTGTGTTTATGTTGTGTGAAAACCGACACCACATGCACTGCTGCTCTTTGTGCGGCACACGTAAGGAGTACTGTATTACGTATGCTGGGTACGGTGTGGGTGCAGGTGTGGGTGGTACAATGGGGTGCATGCACTCTTGGCACCCACCTTGTAATGTTCTCCCTTAAAATTCAAACCCCGTACTTGTACGACTATTCGGTGCATTCAGTTCACGCAGCACGAACAGTACACCCGATTTTTGGCACCTACGCTACAGCAGCTGCGTTTGTCTGTCCTGCCACTGCTGGAGTGTTCCGCGGTAAAGACGAATAGTTTCCACGAGTTTTCAATGAGCAGCAAGAAATGGTTCCCAGCCTTTGAAAAATTCTACCAACATCCGTTAGGTCTCGTGGATCACGAAAATATGCTTATTTTCCCATTTGGATGTCGTGGTGATGATTTACTGATGAATGAGTGGCCGAAATTGGGTGAAAATCGCGTCTTCGGGCCCCCCGAGCAAGATGCAAACGCCTCCGAATCGTATAATTTTTTCAGGTCAGGCTAATGTTGTGTTGTACATCAAGAATCCGTCGTCAGAATTTCGATCAGGATCGATGCGGCCGTGATACAGCTACGCACTGATATATATGCGCGAAAGCAGGGATAACCTGGAATTACTAGGAATTACACTGAAATATCCCCCCTCCCGCACCACTTTCCACATGTTGATTCAATCCCTCCTGAGTTCGAATTAGGGTACTTGTGGATTTGGGGTGGGGATCACAAATGCATTGTTGGAATGTCCCAGTTTTGATTTGCAATGGACTTTCAGCTGCTCAAAAGCTGACAGTAGCTGAGCAATTTCAAAATTCCTGGGATTTTGAATTCATTCTCGGTTCCCACGTCGAGTTTTTGTCTGATCAACTTTCTGAGTGGCTCTACCCTCCCTAAATCGGCCAAGCGGAATCGATTGCCGAGGTGAAATGGAGGCGCCGAAATCGTCAACACGGTGAAAAAAAACAATCAAGGCGATCCGATCACATTTTTTTTGTTTCTCTTTATTTCATGCTTTATACATACGTCGTTTTAGACATGTATCCAAAAGCGGTTTTTCATTTGAGTTTTTCCTCGCCGCGGGAGAGACAATTCGTTTTTTCCGCGGAACACCCCTGCTGTCAGAGACCAGACTACGGTAGGAGTATCAGAGACGTTAGATCTGCTGCAAGACCTGGCACTCTCCGAACATTCAGCAGCAACTGGAACGCGCCATCCGACGACATCCTCAACCCCCTGCAGAACGCATCAGCCGGAGAAATAGTATTGCAGTATTTATGACCCGCGGCACAGCCAGGCGGGGGTCGGGGGGGGGGG